CCAGTCTGGTTCCTTCCAAACAATTTTAATTTTAACGCATCATTGATAGCTAGTGGACCTTCTGGCTGGAGAAGGTGGGAGCCACCTGAGACATTTGGAGGCAACCAAACCAAAGAAAGCTGCCCTAGAGTGACTGGTCACTGTGCCCTCAATGGGGGAGTCATCTGGTAGAATCCTGTTCCCACAGGCCAGTTTTAAGGACGTGACTTTTTGGTGCATGGACAAGTCCCTGCAGTTTTCTTGGCTAGATTTCAGAAGTGGTTCACCATTGCCTTCCTCCTGGGCAGAGAGGGAATGACTGACCCAGCTGGCTTTGTGAAAATGATTATAGGTGAAAAGAGCAATGAGAGAGCTGATGTGATGTGAGGAAAATGCTATTTCAGACAGGCATGGACAGAAATGAACAGATAGCTTTGCTTTATAAAACACAACTTTTGTCAACGAAATCTCAGTCATAATGGTAAGGAACATCTTTTGAGAGGAGTTAGGAAAAGAGATATGAGCGTACAGCCATGGTTTATTTAATGGACTCAATTCCTTAATCTACCCAACACTGTGATCCTTAAATTAATCATGGGATTGGATGCCAAATGTGCTAGGCTATAATTTAATGAGTTAGTTTGCAGGTGTGCGTAGAATTCAAACTCAAAGATCACAAAACAGTCATTTCCACTTCAGTCTTGCTTGTGAAGACAAGCTCAGTAGGTTAAGAGACAAGGTAAATACTTTTAGTCTGCATCAATAATAACAAGACATATAACAACCTACCAATATTTTCATTAAGAGGTGGTAAAGATTGGCCAGGATCAAAATACCATAGAAAGAGGAGGAGGAGGAGGAAAGAAGAAAAAGAACAGCCATTCTTTTAAAAGGAACATATGTTACTTCTGCTTTCTCTGAGGTATTTCTGCAGTCCTTGTAGGAGAGAAGCTCCATCCAAGCATTTTTAGCTTAGGGGTTGCTGGTTAATGTTGTGTGTTACAAGCTTTGATGTGAGTTTCCATCTGGGGAGGCTGGTCCATGCTCTGCACCTTGCTGGTAGCTTCAAGCAGTGCTAAGAAGCCCAGCTGGCTAATGGATAGCTTGACCAGCAGACTTGCTTCGGGGCAACATTTCCACGTTACCAATGTTTCTCCTGGGAAATTATGCAAAGATAAACAGATCCCTGAGGCAGAAGCACAAGGCTGGAGTATAAAAAATAATCATTCAGGTTATTTTTGAGATGGAGCAATTAAGGGAGAAGAATTTCATTTTCTTGCACAATGATGTCTGGACCCAAGCAGCATGTTTTTAATATAACTGGCTAGACACACTCATTCTATGGTTTGCTTTGAAAAGCAAAATTAAGTCTTAATCCGAGCTGAAAGCCATTGCTTATGGATCGCAATGTCTGGGCTATGATATTAAACTGGTTTGGGTCTAGTTATTAGTTGGATAGGAAATTTGTAGGGATTTCCAGGATTGTAGGCTAGATGGGATAGTTAATAAACACCTTACCGTGGTGTTTTCCAACCTTGGCATCTTTAAACTTCAACTCCCAGAATTCCCCAGGCAACATTCCCTGGCTAAGGAATTTTGGGAATTGAAGTCCACACAGTTTAAAGTTACTAAGGATGAAAACCACTGCCCTGGAGTAAGGCAATGACAAATCACTTCCAAGTTTTGCCAAGAGAGATCCGTAAGCTTCTCCATTAACAAAGCAGATGCTGAATTCAACTGGAAATAATTTTAACTTTGTCAGGCTTATTCAAGCATGGCCTTAACATCTTTTCAGTTCTTTCCAACTCTATAATGCTATGATTCTGGATCTTAAGCCATCAACCTCTTAATTCTGGAACAGGCTAATCAGCAGAAGTCTCACAAACACATTTGGCTAATATAGTTTCTTTACTGCAACAAGAATGAAGTCATAGACATACAAAAGATCATCAAATGGACTTTGGATCTCTGCAGATCTTTTGCATTAAGTAAGATCCCCTCACGCTTATTGCTGATTATGGTTGGCATGCATTTTACAGCAAACAAAGCCAGTGATCTCAACTGAATCAAAGTATTCTGGGACATGTTTCAGTCAAGTCTCTCATTAATTAGATCCCTCACGCATCTAATAAAATCACAATCAGATCTTCAAGCCCTGCTAATAAAGATAATTTGGTACAGGTGTAATAATATGGAATTCACATTATCTACAATACAATGCTTCTGGAAACACCATTATTTCCATATAGTTGAACGATCATCATGACGATTACTTTTATACAATTTCGTATTTTGTGAGTTCAGGTGAGAGAACCTGACACTCAGGCTATCCTATGCAATGGCACCATTTCTATACATGTATATAATTATGCATAATTATCTTCAGAAAGTACAGAGATCATCAGTCTCCCACAAATGGAGGGGGCTCATGTCACAACTTTTTAATGGAGGCGAACTCTTTGTCACCTTCTGGATCTTTTTATCACTGGTTTCTGATAATTTGTGGCTAAAAGCAAAATCGGATATGTAGTTCCTTCATGGAGCTTAAGGTCTAACAGATCTAATTAAGTTTACCTATCTCAAGAAGTTAGCCCCATCTATGTTGTAGCAGATTAAGACATTAATTGCAGCATAAGAGCTTAGAGGGCGGGTGTCAAACTTGCTGTGTCACAATGCCATCACGTAATGCTTTGTGACGTTTTTTCCATTCGTGGAGCTGGGATGGGTGTGGCCTGTGTGTGATGCATCCAGCCCGTGAGACGCTAGTTTGAAACCCCTGGCTTAGATGGTAAAAAATGTGCTTAAGATGGTGTATACATCCTATGCCAAGCTTTCACCAGTGGCAGTATAGCAATTTTTGAAGGTTGCATAGGATGGAACTTCTGGAAATTGCTCTTCCAAAACATCTTGAGGGCAATAGTTAGGAAAAGCTGCTTTAAGCCTACACTTAATTGTCTCATGCTTGATACTTGACAGACCTATAGCTATATTGCCACTTTAATGACATATAGGGCAACTATAACAACAGAAGGGGTGGTATTTAAACATTTACCTTCAAACCTCTCAAAGTCTTCAAAATGGCCAGCCTGGTTCCATCCAGAGTGATCTTTTATTTATAATTATCCTAGACCTTAATCTTGGCTTCACTCTCTAAGCATGGCTTCCCCACCCCCAGTTAAATTAGCATCATTCATTTACAAGAGAAAAACTATTAGGAGGCTATAATACTTCTCTCTCCCATCCAAAACAAATAAAAAACCCACCCCAGTAAAGATTGAGCAAGCTGTTCTCAGAACAGAAAATTAAAGGTCTGAGAAAAGAAATCGCATATTCTGAAAAGGGCAAGGCTGGCATATTGAACAGAAGAATGTACAGTAACACCTATCAGGATTCGAGCTACCAAAGAAATGTGTTTTCAATGCAAATCCAGAAACATGTACATTAAGGGGAGGGGGGCAAAGAATGAGAATTCATCTGAACTTGTAGAAAGGAGCCTATTTAAATGATCAATACCACATCTGAGACCAATCTGAGGGATTACACTTCTAGAATGCTTGAGTTCCTCAAACATTTATTTAAGTCTCAAGTGCCTAGAACTGTTAATATTGAAGCCATAAATACATTAGCTCCTCTTAAAATGAAATCCCATCCTTTTTTTTTAGAAATACAAAGAGAACTGAACTGTTCAAGTCATCGAAGATGGAAACATCATGGGAAGATATCTGTGTTATGTGGTGGGGAAAAAAATCTGTCACTATCTTTTCTGACCAGCAAACTTAAATTTAAACTCTTCATTTAATGCTGCTTTATGCTTCTAATGAATTCTACCAAATTCCTGTGCCACCCAACCACATTTAGGGTAGAAATGGCAAACATCTGTTATTTTCTGGAACTGGCCAAGTATAGCTAACTTCAATTCTAAAAATCATGGTAAATCTAGCCTTCCAGCAAGCCAATCTCTCCCTTTAAGGATTGGTAGTTTCTTTTTAAGTGGTTACAATTCAGAGCTGCATGTAGCAGGTATTGATAGCCGTTTTTTTGAATGCTATTGCCAATTGCTAAGCCAGGGCACATTTCTGGGGAAAGAGGAATCCTTGGATTGTCACGCACTTCCTCAACTATGAGAAAAAAAATACCAACTGCAGCAGGGAGATGGAATTTCTCAAGGCCAAAAGGGGCCATCAGAGGGGATTTTTATTAAAACTATGCCAAAAGGCAGAAAGGAGATTGCAAGTCCTTTCCCACCTCCCCACCCCTCTTTGCAATTTATATTGAAGAGAGAAAAACTCTAGGCTCCTTCTGGTTCACTGAAATTAGCCCAAGCAAAAAAAAAAACGTTACTGGGTAAGCATAGTTCTTCCATGACTGTATATACGCAAAGCTGTGCTAATGATAAGCCTTTATGATAAGGCTTACCAACCCCACTAAGTTGCACCTCTTTATTTCTTCAGCGGGAGGAAGGTGGGCGGCAATGAGGACTTCACAATCCAACCACTTTTAAGAGGACTCCCTGTTTGCATTTTCTGGAGCAACAGGTGGCTTTTCCTCAGCTGGTGGCGGTGTGTAGGGGGAAGTGGATAGTAACGGATATATTTTAAGAGGAATGTTTGGTGCGGTTGGCGTCTAACCGAGACAGAGCAAGCCAGTAGGAGAGGCTGGAATTAAAACCGATCAAACCCAGCCACGCTCTCAGCCTCCCTTCCCGCTCTGACGCAAGAGGCACTTGCGACCCAAAGTCCTTAAAGGCAATTCATTAAGAAAGGGGAGATCTATAGAGGCCCGTCGAAGGGGAAAAAAAATTAGGATATCTCCGCCAATTAACACCCCCCCATCAAAAAAAAAAAAAAAAAAACCCCCTCAGGACTTTTCATCACGGTTGGTTGGCTTGCAGAATTTGCTTGAGACCGCTCGAGCGTGCTTGTCGCCCTCCCTCCTCGCGTGCCTCGACACGGATGGGCGCAGATGCCCACGCTGCGTGGCCTAAGGCAGCAGCGCCCTTGCTCGTGGCACGGCATCCTTACCTTGCTCTCCTCCTCCTCGTCGTCCTCGTCTTCTTCTTCTTCCTCCTCCTCTTCCTCCTCCTCCTCTTGCTCTTCTAAAGCCACCGGAGCAGCAACGACCGCGTCTCTCTCCGCCTGACCGGCCACCTTCCGCTCCACTTGAACGTGACTCCGCTGTTCTGCTTTCACCGCCTCCGGGGCAGCCTCGTCCTCGACCTCCTCCCCTTTTCCCTTCTCCCGAAGCCCTTCTTCTTCTTCTTCCTTTCCTTCCTTCGTCCCCTTTTCTCCAGCCCCTATTTCCTCCACGGCGTCCCTTCCAGCTTCTCTGCTTATCGCCGCCTCTTCGTCTCCTTTCTCCTTCCGAGGCTCCGCGCCGGCCGCCTCCGGTTCCCTCTCATCCTTCTGGAGGGCTTCGCCGTCCGTCCGGTCTACCGCAGCAGAGCTCGCCTTGGCCTCCCCTTCTTCCTTTGCTGCTGCTGCCGCTGGCTCCGTAGCTTTGTCCTCTTCCGAGGATCTCAGCTTGACAAAGACCGACGCTAGAATAACAGCCAGGACGGTGAAAAGCAGCGGGACTGCAACGTACAAGTCCACCGCTACATCCATGCCTCCGGCGGCTGTGCGACCCGACAGCAGTGGCCGCAATTTGACCGGGAGAGCTGCGATGTCGAGTCGTCGCCCGCTCCCTCGTGCTTTTCTCTCTCTCTCTCTCCTCCACCTCCTCTTTCTGCAGCCGCCGGGCAACTGAGCAGCTGGACTGAATTCAGCTGCCTGAAAGCGGCGGTCGGTCTTCTGAAGCCGAAAGCAGGATAGGGTTTCACAACACCCGCGTCACTTGGCCCGGGCCCGCCTCCCTCCGTCTCTGGTGCCACTCCCGGCAAGCCTAGGTCGCCGGGATGGCCATTCCCACTTAGGAGTTTTAACACGGGGAAAGGGAAGGAGAGACCAAAGGAAGGAAGGAAAGGAAGGGCTGTTTTGAGAGGAGGATATACAAAGTTATCTCCATATATACCCAAATGTGGTTAAATAACCACACTTGTATTCCACATAGGCTAAAAAGAACTCAGAGGAATGAGCTGCATACAGGTTGATAATTCCCTTGTAATATTGAATCGTGTAAACTTCCCTGGAAAAATTGGAGAGTTGGATTCGGCTTGGTGCTAGACCATGAACCAGTGGTTTATATATCACTCTACAGCAGTGTTTCTCAACCTTGGTAGCTTGAAGATGGGTGGACTTCAACTCCCAGAATCCCCCAGCCAGCGCTGGCTGGGGGATTCTGGGAGTTGAAGTCCACCCATCTTCAAGCTACCAAGGTTGAGAAACACTGCTCTACAGCAAAGCCAATTATTATTATTATTATTATTATTATTATTATTATTATTATTTATTATTATTATTATTATTATTATTATTATTATTATTATTATTATTGGCTCAGGGTAATCCACTCTCCCTGATCATTCTATTAGAAAGTAAACTCTTCTCTATTTTCCTTCCTTCCTTTATATTTCAAATGTATAAGCCATCCTATTTATAACAGTAATCAATACAACACATAAAGATAATAACTTAGACATCAATATACCAATTAATAAAATTCTCCTAACGGACACGTTTCTTAAGTTAGAATGTGGGAGAAATATTTGGTCTTTAAGATGGCAGGATGGGGTGGCCTCAGTGGGGATCCTTTTCCAGCGGATAGGCCCCATGACAGAAGGAATGACATCCAAGTCCCATCAGATGACCTTGTTTTAACAATAGGACTTGTTAATAGTGCAGTTTGAGCAGCATACGTTATTCATTGCAGGGTATGGAGACACCGTAAGTGTTTGTGCTGCTACAATCTGGATCAATTAATAACTTGTTAATGATTGTCAAGGACAGCCATATATGGAATACATTTCAGCTGTTGATATGTGAGGTAATTGCAGCATGAGTGACTATAAGAAAGATCTAGGACTCTTCTAGAAGGGTCATCCAATCTAGGAATGGCTTCAATTTGGAACCTTTCTGCTCATAGTCTGTAGAGATTCTCAGTCATCCAGGTCATGGTAGTCCCAGATGTGCTTTTTCAGGCGACAACTGGACTTTCTTGTTTTTTTCTTTTAAAGAAAAGGTTCTTTCTGCTCCTATTTGCCACCTGCTTATAGAGCTGCAACCGTGAACCCAGAAATTTCCCTATTGCGTGCTGTATCTGTCTGGGCAAGAAAAACCTCATCCAGCGATGAAAGTGGAAAGCCCTTGGTGTTGGGACAATCAAAAACACATAATCACCAAGTCTTGTCAGAGTTGTCCTTTAATTGTTCCTCCCCAGTCAGGCCCCACCATCTTCAGATACTAAGAGGAGATTTTGAAGGCATTAATTGGTTAGCCTGTTATTCAATTGAGTATCATCAGGCATTAATTGGTTAACTGTTTATTCAATTGAATATCATCAAATGTGGTTATTTGACCCCTGGCCAGTGGTGAAATCCATTTTTTTTTACTACCAGTTCTGTGGGTGTGGCTTGGTGGGCATGGCAGAGGAAGGATATTGCAAAATCCCCATTCCCACCCCACTCTGGGACCAGCCAGAGGTGGTATTTGCTGGTTCTCTGAACTCAAAAGTTCCGATATCGGTTCTCTGAACTGCTCAAAATTTCCACTACCGGTTCTCCAGAACCTGTCAGAACCTGCTGGATTTCACCCCTGCCCCTGGCCAGTGGATGAATTCACCCAGTGGCTTCATATAGATGTTTTAATAACAGCATTGAGTCTTTGAAATCTCATACATCAGGAAACTCAAGCTTGACTTCTTTCCCCAGCAATTGGAATTAGCCATGAAGAAAGGGAAACATTGTGCCTCCTACCTAGTCCCTGCTTTGGTCTAGAGTCTAGACAGATACCATGATTGATGATACTGAAGGCTGCTGAGAAGTCAAGAACCAGAAAACTAAACACAAATCTGCCAGACCTCATCTACAAGCAAAATCAGTGCGACTTCTGTGCTGTGTCCTGGCCTGAAATCCAACCCCACAAAAAATTCAGATAATCCACTTCCCCTACGGCCCTTTTGAAGCTCAACCCGACAACCTAAAAAGGGATGTTGGGAGATTGGATGAGTATTATCCAGCACTGTTGGGTCCAGTGTTGGTTTAAGAAGGTGTGTGCCACTTGCTTCCTGTTAAGGCAGGCACTCAAGGATGCGCTAATCACTGCATCCATGATCTGGCTCAAAAGAGGAAGATATCAAGGTGACTGGAATTTGCTTCTTTTGCTTAGTACCTACTATTTTAAATAATGTGATGCTTATGCTGCAGCTGCAGCGAGTTTATGGAACTTGCTGATTCACTAATGTAACTGATCACGAGGACTAAAAGTATGAATTTTTAGAGAATTACTAGAAGGTTGGAATGTTAGAGGTCTTTGCCACTGAGTGCTTGAAGCTATATAATATATATTTTGTGAGATTATTGTGTATGATTGCTAGCCAGGGGGAAAGGCCATCAGTAATATGGAGTGATGTAAGCAAGCTATCTGGTAGCAGTGTAGCTACTGCATTTTATTAAGAGTCAAACACACACCTGAGCTATATTCTTAATCACAAATTTGAAGGCACAAATGGTGTTTTCTAAGCTCTGCTGTTAAACACGCTGAGCTTGTCAGCTGGAAAGCTGACAGCACAAGTTTGAGCCCTGAGCACCATGCAACGGGGTGAGCTCACATTACTTGCCCCAGCTTCTGCCAACCTAGCAGTTCAAAACCATGCAAATGTTGAGTAAATAAATAGCTATCATATACCTATTTCCCTGTGCTTAAGCATATATAGTCATGCTGGTCACATGATCACAGAAGCATCTTTGGACCACGCTGGCTTCCGCTAAGAAGCTGAGATGAGCATTGCCCCCTAGTCAGACACGACTGGACAGGGGAAACCTTTACTTTTAAAATAAGACTTAATTCTCAATGATCACAAGCACCCAGCAATAATTTCACAAAGGTCACTTTCAAAATATCGGTTCTGGACTACATTTCATTTTCTGAAACTGAACTACATTTCATTTTCAGCTGATTTTAATTCAGCAATGTCTCAGGTTAGAAACTGCAATTATGTTGCTTGACGTAGATGTTGGCAATTTTTCTCTTTGAAAAACCGTTTTCCTTGCATTATTGTGTTTGTTCGAACTAAAGCTTCCTGTAATCCGGATTTCTCCATTTCTGCATTTTAAGATGTTCTTTCTAGATATTGAATTTCCACCTCTTGTAACGTACCACCAAACTCCTCAAAGTCTGTCTTTATTGCATCTTGAGTAGCTGATACTCATAGGATATTACTAACAGTTATTATCCTGCTGTTTACTAGATTATAGCTAAACTTGTATTTAGCAATGTCCATGCCTATTCTGAAGTAGTTGTTTACCATCACGTGTGAAATACAGCACATTCTTAACTTCTATATTAGTAATAGGAGGCTACTATCCTCATAATGCACTTTATCTAGTATTCCAGTTTCTTAAAATTTTACTTATTATATAGAGACATGAATGAAATTTAAATCAAAATGTTAAGTAGAAAATAAGACTTTTATTTTTTTTTAAATCACCAAACAAATGAAATTCAGAGCATTGCTGGCTCCACTCTTAGGATGGATTTCAATACAAACCAGTTAGTTGGGCTTCATCTTTAGAAGTGCCAAAAAGATTTACCATATTTTTCGCACTATAAGACACACCTGACCATAAAACGCACTCCGATTTTCGGCCTCTGTGCACCCCATTTTCGGCCTCTGCATGGAGGCCGAAAACGGGAAGTGCAGAGGCCAAAAACTGCTGAAGTGTGGGGCCCGGTGGGGCTTCGGCAATATTAGCTCCATAAGACGCACAGACATTTCCACCCACTTTTGGGAGACAAAAAAGTGTGTTTTATGGAGCGAAAAATACAATAGGTCTTGGTAAAATGTGAATTAAGATCTATGGAAAAGTCTAGGATAAATTGACTTAATGTAATGAACTAGTTGTTCAGAACATGTATTTTCTCTGGTAAATGGTGACTTCTTGAGAAAATAAAGCGGAATTAATAATCAATTAGGAATTAACTTTGTAACGAGAATTATTTTTTTAAAATACCAGGACTGAGTTATTATACATGTCATGTATCTTCCTGTGATCCATAAAGATAATTTACAAAAGCTACTGTTCCAAAGAAGGCAACAAAAGCCCATCTTAGTGTTTAGCCTAAATACATTGTTTAGAAGACCTTCTTATAACTTGGTAAACTGGCTTTAGCTTAATAGGATAAAAATATAGGCAAAAAAGCACAGCTAAACCAAATTAATCACTACATAAAGCTATAATTGTTAGTACCGGAGGCAAATCCTTATTTAAGTCTCATGTACAAGTATGCACAGTTTCATAAATAAAATTTAATTCTTTTTTAAAAGAAGGAATAACCAAGTTTATTTATCAATTTGGGAATCTGAAATATAAAATGTAACATCAGAAGCAAACAGCTGTTATAAACAAACCTCATTATTATTAAAAAGATTTAAAAACTTATGCCATTCCACTACTGCCTATGGCTACTATTGCTAAGAATGCCATTATTAGTAACTTTTCATGCAAACTGAACAAAAAATTTATTTGTTTTGAAAAATCAGATTCCATTATATAGGAAATGCCACATAAGGAGGGTTCTTTTTTTATCAGTCAAAACAATGCTCATTTCTTTCATATTAACTTCCTGATTAAAACCAAAATAACCTATGACCGAACAGATTTATCTGATTCCTTGTGACACAAATATACCAGATTTCTAGTTAAAGGAAGTGTTCAT